CCAGAGAAGCAACCACTGTGGAAACAATTTGAGTCCTACACTGTCCCCAGCTTCACATTGTTGATGTCCAAAGAGACCGCACAGTGCTGGCTCCATTCCACCGATACGCTGCCATCAGCCCACCAACATCGTACGGTTTGATTATTTGCAAATAATGTCATAGGAAGCAAATAAACACATGCCACAACCATAAGAAAGGACAAATAAAATATATATCCCCATATCAATAAGTTGTAGAGAGGTTTCATAAGTTTCTGCTCTAGTAATACACAATTTAGGAGAAATATCCTTAAAATAACAAATCTTAAAGTCAGCTGGGGGAAAAATCAAAATAACATAATATGATCTAGAGCAGGGGTGCCCATTAGGTCGATTACAACCTACCAGTCATTTGCCAAGTTAAAGCTGGTAGATTAGTATTGCAAGTTGGCTCGCTGTCCCGAGCTCCCTCCTGTGGTGCTAGTGCTGCCAAATGTATTGGACACTGAAGATGCCCCATCTGCAGCATCTGACATATTCAGCCGCACTAGCACCACAGGAGGACAGAAAAGCGTGCATGAAGAGCCAGAAGCAGGTAAAAAAACTGTGAAGATTTGAGATGCCTCTGAAAGGAGAGACACCAAGGGAAGAGGGAGGAGAGACAGCAAGGGAAGAGGGAGGAGAGACAGCCAGGGGAGAGAGCGAGGAGAGACAGCCAGGGGAGAGAGCGAGGAGAGACAGCCAGGGGAGAGAGCGAGGAGAGACAGCCAGGGGAGAGAGCGAGGAGAGACAGCCAGGGAAGAGAGCGAGGAGAGACAGCCAGGGGAGAGAGCGAGGAGAGACAGCCAGGGGAGAGAGCGAGGAGAGACAGCCAGGGGAGAGAGCAAGGAGAGACAGCCAGGGGAGAGAGGGAGAAGAGACAGCCAGGGGAGAGAGCGAGGAGAGACAGCCAGGGGAGAGAGCGAGGAGAGACAGCCAGGGAAGAGAGCAAGAAGAGACAGCCAGGGCAGAGAATGAGGAGAGACAGCCAGGGGAGAGAATGAGGAGAGATAGACAGGGGAGAGAGCGAGGAGAGACAGCCAGGGGAGAGAGCGAGGAGAGACAGCCAGGGGAGAGAGCGAGGAGAGACAGCCAGGGGAGAGAGAGAGAAGAGACAGCCAGGGCAGAGAATGAGGAGAGACAGCCAGGGGAGAGAATGAGGAGAGACAGCAAGAACAGGCAGCAAGGAGAGAGAGCAAGAAGAAACAGCCAGGAGAAAGAGCATAGAGACAGCCAGTAGAAAAAGCGAGGAGAGACAGCCAGATCTCATTGAGCTCATCATTTGAAAAGTGGATCTTAACGCAAAGAATTGTGGGCACCCCTGATTTAGACTGCCATTTAGGAACCTTTAGCTGTACTTTAAACCTGAACTTTAGGCAAACAACTAAATACACAGTTAGTATGCATATGTGTGAACTTTATTAAATCCTAAAGGATTTTTAATTCTGTCCAGCCGGTATTTTAGACTTATCTGCAGGCTGTCAAACCAAAAATATGCATGTTACCTGTTTTGAAGATATCTGCTCTCAGGCTGTCATCTATTTAACTCCATAACTACTCTGACATAAAGTAATGACACGCATAACAAGCGTGCTTTTTCCAGGTCAGTGACTCACTTTATAGTGAAGCAAGGGCAGGGTACAGCTCTGGAGCTTATACCTTTAAAATTAAGTTTGCAATGACAACCGCTATATTTATATCCTAAGAGGATCCTTTTAAGTAACACATCCTGGTCTATAATCTGTACAGCCTTTGACTAGACAGTTAAAGAGCAGTAGCATGCTGATAAGGTAATCACTCTGCTCTTTCTCTCTCTTTTAGGTATGTTCACAGGTTTAGTCTGACAGGACTATGACATAATTCTAAAATAGAATTGTTATGGGGCCTTTGGCTTTCTGATTTTAATTTCCCTCTTCTATGACCTCAACATTTAAAAATTATAAATCTGCAGCACACTAATTTGTTTTAGAATTTCTAATAGAAGTGCATAGAATATATAAATAATATATACAAATGTAATAGCCGTATAAAAATTGTGACAAAGCAATATGTAGCTAGTCAGTTTTGAGTCCCCCTGGCTCAGTTGCTCTACTGCATCTATGGAGGGCACCATGTTTGTCACATTTAAAGGAGGGGCAATTAAGGCCCTGGGTTCCCACAAAGGAACTATCCCTTGAAATGAAGGTCAACTCAAAGCTATAGTTTCTTCGGGCAACCCAAAACACACTTGCAATTTAATTGTTATTGGCCAATTTCACCCTGGAGTGTGTGTATGTGCTTGTGTGGCTGTTAGACCGTAAGTCAGGCACCGATCTGAATGATTCTTTGTACTTTGTAAGTACTGCATAGTAAATCAATAAATAATACATCTGTACGCTGTGATAGTTGAAGAGAGGAAGATCTGGAGCAGAAGAACGCTGAACCTTATAGTCATGTTGGGTTTCTGTTCACGAATGGTGTAGATGAGAAGAGCAGCTGTACAATGCTATGAAGCTAATAACTGTGTCCATAAACAAGGAAGTCATATTGTGAAACTTAAAATGGTTAATTTATTTAATTTTAACACATAATTGCAATTTGATGCATAAATAAGTATTTTTTTCTACAGACAGCGGATCTTTAATTTACAGCTCACTATGCTGTGAATACTCTATATAGCTTCTCTTGCTTTGCTAGTTGCAATGAAGTCAAGTGCAGCCCCAATGTTCTATTTTATTTATTGCTTACGGAAGAACGCTTTGAAGAGACATTGTTAATTTACTTATGATGGGCTCACCTCACCTTATCTGTTCTCCCTTGCAGCTCCTTCATAGTCGGCACTGAAATAGACAGTGATTCAGGGGAGCAATGCCATCACTTACTCTGTCATGTCACAGTGCTTGAGCTTAGTGATTGGCAGATAAGCCCTGGCACAGTCACAGGAAAGCATGTCACTTTCTCTACCGTACCCAGAAGAGTTGGGTATGTTTGCCAGCTGCAGAGGAGTAAGAAGCTGTGAGGGGGAGTAGATAAGGTTAGCAAAGGGGGTCAGGGGTTGCTGGGATCAATTTACTCAAGGCAAATAGACAGTCACTTTGCAGTGGAATGTTCCCTTTAACTTAGTGAGTTAAAGGTATGCTGACCACCATTGTCCAATCATGTGCAAGCAAAAATATTGTTTTCTCATTTGCCTTGCATGCGATTGGGTATTCTTTGCTTAGTGAATTTTTACCCAAATGCAGTCAAAACTTTGCTGCGTTTTGGACAGAGCGGGAAGTGTTAGAGTCTTTGTCAGGATTTTATTGCTGTGTCCCTGTTGGGGTGATATCTCCTTTCTTCCTGTCATGGCAGGAAAAGATAAGATATATCTCCGACAGGGACATGGACAAATCAATCCATTTTTCTTGCATGGTTGCCACAGGGACAGGAAGTGAGGAGTAATCTCGAAGACAGAAATTAAATCATGACATGGATTGCAATTCTTCCCCATTAAAAAATGGACATCATATCATGTTGCACCATACTCAACTAAGGCTGCATCCTCTATTAATATTGAGGCTGCAGCGCTCTTTCTGCCCAATACTTTTGACAAGCAGTGTTTAGAATTCCTGCTGCCATGCATTAAAGTCAGGTTTTTTTAAAACTTGAAGCCAGCAGCTCAGTAAAAAGCTTCCAGTTTATGCCTATTGGTCTCACTGCCCGCACCATCGGACTGCGCTGCACTGAACAAGGAAGCTTGCTGAAAGATCTTTGCAAGGAGCTGCTAGTTTCATGTTTTAAAAATCCAACAGGGTTGCTTTTATACATGTGCAAGCCCACAGATCCATTCAGCTGAGGCACTGCAGCAATAATACATGAGAACCATACTTGGGTAGACAGTATTCCAATTTATTCTTTAATGGGATACGTGGACATGAAGCTAGTTGTAAGTTTCCACTACATCAGAATTTTGCTCAAAAGACAAAGCTCTGTGCACATACCTATATGTCTTCTTTTCCATAAACTTACCTGTACTATAGGTTTGACCCTTTGCACATTACACAAACTACTTCATTAAGATTTCCATTATCAGGTGTTCTGTCTGAACCACCGTTTTATGGATTTGCACATACATCCTGAAACTAGTCTGTATGGATAGTATGACAATCTACTGAGCCGATGGTATCCACAGGCAGGATCCAACTCTTCAGAGTAGAATCCAGTGTAGTTTATTCAGGCTTGACAATACAGAGGATGTGATCCCTTGTCATTCTCAGAGGTGGAAAGACATCTTTATCTAAAGCCTTGTACAGAATGAACACAACCCTCTTAAAACAGTGAGGGGGAAGTGAAAAGAGACCGGGAAGGAGAGGCTGGGAGTTTCTAACTAAAAGACTGTTCAAATGAACACTAAACTTGAGGGAGGTTGAATGGAAGATACCAATGTATACATAAATGAAGCTGTAGTAGCACTAATCTACCACTAGTTGTCAGGAACATACCATAACATGATCATAAGCAATGAAATACATAACAGTGTAATAAAAATAACAGAAAACAATACTGGCTGTGGCAATACTGGCTGTGGCAATACAGGCGAAAGCTTTAGGCCCTGTTCTCTCTTATGCATCATAACACATGCATTTTGATCAATTTACACACATTTTACCTGTCATCCCATTGTTTGTAATGTGTCTGGTTCACATATATGCATTGCAGAGCATCATGGGAAATAGTTCAGAAACAGTTTTTGTTGCATCAATTGGAACAATTCATGTATTTTCATGTACTACAAATGCATGGTTACTGAGATCCGCCCCCCGCAACAGACCACGTGCTCTTGAGCCAGCTACAGTTGTAAATGACAGGCTGTGAAGCTAGCCTTAGTGTGGTTGTTTAGATCCTTATGAAAGTTTCTTGACCCTCAGATCAGCTATGACCTTAGGAAAGATCGTTTTATGTAAATTGTGCATTTATTGAAAAAACGATTGGTTCCCAATTTATCTACTTCTTTTTCCATCTAGGGCAGAGCCTAGGATATGGATTTGTTAATTACATTGATCCAAAGGATGCAGAAAAAGCCATTAACACTTTAAATGGACTCAGACTACAAACCAAAACCATCAAGGTGAGCATGTTTATCTGGTCATTGTTTTTCATTAAATATTATAATAGATGGTAAAGTTTAATGGTGCATTTTAAAGAAAACAAGTTGGTGTATGACATATTTGACTTGCATTGAACTACGAAGCATGTGACCTGGGATCTTTGTAAAGGACCTCATTCATAAATTAGAATATTTCATACCAAAATGTTCTGCTTAGTTGTATAGTGAGATGTTTGTTGACATGTTCAGAATCTCACTCAGCGTGTTCCTCGACATTACATTAGTGCTAGGGGGCCAATTTAAAGTAATTCTAAACTCAGGAATTAAATCTTAAAAATACATTCACTATTAACTATTTAACTACTTATTTGTGTATCACTCGGCTGTAGATCCTCAAATCATCTCTGAATTGGTGCGGACACTGTCCTTCCTTCTGGAGGGTGGCTACTTTTGTTCCCCATGGTCCCTGTGTGTGTTGTAAAGTATCAACCGATCTAAGCTCGCTCTTGTGGTGGACTACAATCTCATGTTCAGTTTACAGATTTGTATTGAGATTGTAGTCCATCACAGGAGTGAGCTCGGAGCAGTGGCTATTTTACAACACTACAAAAGTAGCCACCCTCCAGAAGGAAGGACAGTGTCAGCACCAATTCAGAGATGATTTGAGAATCTACAGCTGAGTGATGTACAAATGAGCTAAATTTTTGTTAAAAGTCAAGGTACTTGAATGCATTTTTAAGATATAACTCCTGAGTTTAGTGTCACTGTAGGTGTTAGGTTAAGGTCCGCTTCCACGTCAAAGTTTACTGGTTATAGGTATGTTTTAATGTCAAATAAGAGCTTAAAGCTAATGTTTTAAGAGTTAATTTTAAGTGTTAAGTTAAAGGCCAGAGTGTGGGTAAGTGTTAGGGTTAATTTAAGATTAAAGTGTATGTAAAGCTGAAACTATTTTTGGTTTTCGATAGAATGTGGGAAGTTCCTAATGACCATTGGTACAGAAAATGATGAAAAATGCAAACTATTGGATTTTTCAGGAACAAGAGGTGAGGGAAAACCTACCAAGTAAACTGGTGACTGCTGTCACAAGGGGGGTGATCCCCCAGCTTTGGAGGGACCTCTTACTTCCTGTTTGGAACAGAAAGTTAAGGAAAATCTTTCCAATTGTATACAGAAAAAAACAGTGCGAGGTCTTTGCTATTCCCTACTCTATTAAAAAAAAATCTGGCTTTACATACACTTTAAGTTTATAGGGGCAGGTTGTTGTGCAGGTTAAGGGTTAATTGAATAGAATAGGTTGAGTATAAGGGTTCAGATGAAGGTAGAGTTAAGTGTTAGGCTCATGTTAAGAGATACATAGAGATCTTTGGCATTTGGAAAGCTTTTTTATTAAAAGCCCCTCTTTGAGAGCTACCAGCTCCAGAAGCCAACATTGCGTGCAAAAACAGGCCTTTAATGGAATGATACCATCCAGATATTACTGGAATATACGTCTAAATGTGCAGTCAACCTAAAGACGATCCAGAGGAAGTCAAGAAAACCTTACAGTGCATGATCCAATTTCCAGCATGGAAAACAAATGCCACAATTAAATCCAAATCTAATAGGATGACTCACTGGATTAACATTCTGAAATATATTTCTTGCCATAATATATGTTATAATTTGATTTAGAATGTTTTGATTTTGGCTCATAGACTAAAGCTTGATAGTCTCAGGTTTGGGGTAGCTGCTTAGACTACCACACAGAGCACAACTGTGAGTCCAAAATCCAGGGAGTGGCCACCCAGTGAGATAACTGTAGGATGAAAAAGAATGTGGTCACTGTCTTCAGAGAAAAAAGAACAGCATAGCTTGGGGAAACTGAAAAAAACAATGAGCTGCTACACAATAAAGGAAAGGCTTCATAGGTAGGAAAAGATATACATTCCAAGCATAATTGCTTGAAAATACATATCTATTTGTTTTTGACTAGAGTTCATTTTTAATATGCTAAAGTGTCATAAAACTGTTACAATTTGTGTTGAAATTATGCAAAAAATTCCGTAAAAAATTGCACCAAATTTGGTCTTCTGTACTTACAATGCAAATCCGCCTCTTGGGGAGAAGAAATGGGATTGAAAGCGCATTCAAAAAAATTTACTTCTCATTAGCTAAACATTTCCACGGCATGGAAGAATTATTTAGGCTAACAAAATAGCTTATACACATTAATTTAACCCCGTCAGCGCCTGCAGCTTTTCTTGCCATCCAGCATTGCTGTAAATCCTGCAGACTGGCAGCTGAGGTTGCAAAGCGTTGTTTGACCTACAAATGACATTTGAAATACATGTTTCTAGGACTGAGTCTTACAAGCAATATTTGCAGTTACTAGGAGCATTGAACTAGAAGACCCACATTCAGCCAATCACGCAAAACTGCACGTTTGTCTTTCTTTATCCATTCTGCTGAATCTCACATTAGTCACATTTTCTGTGTTGAGTCAACAGCTATTTTTAAAATGCGGATCAGATAAAGAAGGAAAGCGATCGTTTTGCAGTTGGGGGTGGATTAGATGTGTTTTAGGGGACTCTCTTGCACATCAGGAATGCTACAAAGGAACATAGCTGAGCTTTTATTAGATATGTGTAGTAATTTATTGCACAGAAAGAGAATTAAATAACAATGATAATCTAGCTCTTTAGATGAATGATTTAGTTACAGCACGCAGTCCAGGAATAGAGGATCTGCAGCCATTAAAGTAGATGTTTACCTCTGTAATATTTTTGTTGTATGTCCTTTATTTTCCCCTTTATATTTAATTATGTGCCTGTTCACAAATCTTCACTTTGCTGTGTACTTCTGGCCTAGTCTTTGTTTTCAAATTTGTGTTTTCTATGGCTGATCGGCCATACAAAAACTAAATGGTGTACCACACTACTAAGTGTGCAGACTAGGACCAACCGCAAATTTTAAAACTAGAAAAAGAAGGATAGGTGCCTTCCAAAAAAAAAACACGACTATATCATGATAAGAAAACCATTTATCAGTCCTTTTAAAGTCCTGAACAAATAAATTAGTCTTAGTTTTTTTGTGTTTATTTATTATTACATAAGGCCACCTTGCTTCCCCCTAAAACATCTGCTACACCATAGTTTAAACATTTTTTACTATGCATTCCTTTTTACCTCAGTTTTTTGGCCAGTCCTCTGACATCCTGGGGTCCTACTTCTCCTCTGGTGGTGTTGGTTGGAGGTCCTCGATGATGCAGAAAGCAGCACTGATATCATTATGTCAGCACCGTTCTCTGTGCTATTATGCTTTGAGCCCTGTGATAGGATGATGCTCCCCTAGGGTGTGTGTCCATGATGCTTTGAGCTCTAGTGGATAATAGAGGAAGCGGAGGGCAGATCTGGAGTCTGGAGAGGGTGCGTAATACTTTACAAACTTATTTATGTAGCACAGGAGTGGGGCCAAAAAAAAATGAAAAAAGCCAGTCCGTATGATGACTAAATTAGGGAAAGGTATTACCTAAGTTTATGTCATGTAAAATATACAATAGAAGGGTGACCATCTCTTTAAGTAAATTCTTTCATTGTTGAGCTGCAGAGGTGAACATAGAGGTGCCCATGCATAAGATCATTTTGAGCCAGCCTGGGCCTTTCATGGCCTAATGTATTATCAATCAGTACATGTATGGGGGAAAGCCAACTTAATCATTCCTAATTATTCTTAACTTGGATATCAAAGAGGCAGATGGAAACCATTCATATTTGCTTTTGTGTGCATTCATTGTACAACCAACAAATCCTCTTTTTTTATTGCCATGTTTAGGATAACAGTAACAGATCAGAGGTCAATAGACTCCATAATCCTAATGGTGGGCAGTTTGCGACAGCTTCTCTATTTTCGTTTCACAAATTGAATAAAATTAAAGAATGGAAGCTCATTGGTCACCATAAGCAACTTATGTTTATTGCAGTTTGTTTAAACTTTCCTTAAATGTACATGTGTCATTGGTCTTTTGGCTTTCATGTCAAGTTCTTAGAAGAGACAGCATCCATTTATGACACTATAATTAATTATGACCTCTACTAAACATTGTTTGTATCTATATGTAGCCATATAAATAAGCCCCATTTAATTCCAGAAAAGCTTATTGCTTGGGCCCCCATGACTCAACTTTAAGGCACATGTTCACAAAAATTAGGACCCTTCTGTGTAGCCAGTCCTCTATCTCAGTGACACTAACAGGTCTATTCACAAAAGGGTGAAGAGTTTGGAGGAGGCATGAGAAGTGATCAATCTAGGAAAAATAGCCGATTTGGAAAAATTCTCCAATTCAGCTCACTTTCCAGTTCAGCTATGTAGATTGTTCACTTCTCCAAACTATTCACCCTTTTGTGAATAGACCCCAATAACTCTGCTGCCATTAACCTATATGAGATTTCTTCCCTGTATTGTATGTCTCAGTCATGATGAAATGGAAGGGCAGACCCACATAGTATGGCTGCCTTAAGGGAAACCTATAGGAAGGGTAATGATTAAACTTAAGGCACATTAAACACATAAAAGCAATGCAATGGTTAAGCATACCATTCAGATGAAAATTAAATACTTTTTTTGTTCTTTTTCCAAATGGCCATGTGACTACTCTGTCATCTCTTTTCCCCCAACTCTGAGGGCACATATAACATTTATTGTTCATAAATGGAAACAATAATTGCAAACTTACACTTTAAGGCTGCTTAACCAAGCTTTAGAAAATGAGAGAAACATGTGGGTTATATATGAACATTATACTGTATATAAACATTAAAACAGCTCTGCTATTAAAAACATTGTTTACTGTTAAGACCAATTCTTTTTTAATTTATTTTCTACTTCCATAGTAGACTGTGCATTTGAGTAAACACCTGATAACAAATGCTGCTTTTCTTCTTGGCCAGGTTTCCTATGCCCGTCCCAGTTCTGCATCAATCCGTGATGCTAACTTGTATGTTAGCGGCCTTCCAAAAACGATGACGCAGAAAGAGCTGGAACAGTTATTTTCACAGTATGGACGCATCATCACCTCAAGAATTTTAGTTGATCAAGTTACAGGTACGTTCCATAAATGTCGTAGTACTCCCACTCTTACCTCTGGCTATTGGTGGAAGTCCAAACAAGGGATTCCCTCTTGGTTATGCATCAAATGCATGGCTCCATCATGGCTCCATCAAGTCAAGGCTCCATCAAGTCTCCATCAAGTCTGCACATTAGTGTACTGGAAAAATAATAAACTAGCTTGGGCCGTTGGGGAAGAGATCTTCAATGGCAGGGGAAAAAAAGCCGTTTCAACTCCCAGTTCAGGTCATTTGCATGCAAACATCCCAGTCTGAAAAGATGGGCTAATAGCAAAAATTTTAAAGTAGAATTTGACCTTGTACTCTCTTTATATGCATCCATACAAATACATAATGGTGACTAATAGTTTTTAAAGTGAATTTGTGTTTTGCCCATAAGGGGAAAAAAAGGAACAGATTTAATGTAATGTCCCCCTCTCAAGCAGCACATACTTACCTTTCTTTTTGCTCCATTTTGATCACAGGAAAAGTAATTCATGTAATCCATGAGTCCCTTTAGTTATAGCTTACACTGAGCAATGGATTCTCTCCATGTGAAAGTGCTGGTGTTTGGTGATTAACCCAGCGCTGCCACATGGAGTAAGTCATGCTTCTCTATATTTGTAAGTACCAGGTATGTTCTTTGCTACCAATGCCTGAATGGATGGGGAAAGTTAAATATGTGTAGCTGGGGATGGCAGGTAGGTAGTTAAATCAAACAGGTTTAAAATGTAGCTTTGTTCTATATCTTTCTGGGCTGAGCTTTTTATTGGACTGTTTCCTCACATCTTAATAAGTCAACATTAACATAAAAATACCCACATTTTTTTAAATCAAGCTGTTTTGTTTTAATTTCCAAACCTCAAAGAGTTCCACAAAAGATGGTCAATCTTTTAAAGGAACATACAAAGTTTTTGTTTTAATGCGTACAATTGTATTAACTGGTCTTTACGTCACTTTTTCATTACTTGTTCTTCAAAATCTGCCCTTTAGAAATAAATATTAAATTTATGCTCCATTAGCCATCAAGGTGTTTACTGAAGAGTTTACTAGTAGTTTTTGTTTGCCCTAACGTAAGCTCCTTTAATATACTGCCCCCACCACATATTGGTACCAGGCCTTTTAGGTTCCTAGTTCTTCTGAGGGAGCTTACCTTATAGCCCCAGTAATATACTGGACACATACTAGAGGATGCAAACTATTTTTTAAGGCAGAATGATCTTCAGTTAGCTAAGGATAGCAATTAATTATACAAACATGAGATCTCTGCAGATGTTCGCAGCTGAACATAAGCAATCCAGATTTCACTCCCAGTCCATCCAGCCTACCTTATAGCAGTCGACGTATATTTCACAGTAATATATTTAAACATAGAAAACATATATTTAGCTTTTTACCAACAAATTCATAATGTCTTCATTACAGGTGTGTCTCGGGGAGTCGGATTCATCCGCTTTGACAAAAGAATAGAGGCAGAGGAAGCCATAAAGGGCCTGAACGGACAAAAGCCAAGTGGAGCAAGTGAACCAATAACTGTGAAATTTGCCAACAATCCTAGTCAGAAAACTAGCCAAGCATTGCTCTCCCAGCTCTATCAGTCCCCCAACAGACGCTATCCCGGTCCTCTTCACCACCAGGCACAGAGGTTCAGGTAATTATAAAAGTATTTTAAGGGATCGTGTCAAAGTGTAGCATCAAGTCATATATGTACATTGCAAGCCTTCTTCTCAGAAATATGCTTTAACTACATAAATAATTTGGCTAACAAATACGAAATTCAAAACAGACAGACAATTGAATCCCTAGGCTATCAATGCACGGGTATGTACAGTACGTGTGACCTATATGAGACAAAAAATAACCCAAGACTGACTACTTTTACCATTCACTGAAAACTGCACTGAATGGCACCTCTAGTCAGTGCTGGTCAACTGTGTTTGCTGAGACTGTTGTATGCAGTCTCATGGGTGATAGACAATCTACATAGCCATGTCTTTTTAGGCATTATTGTCAAAATTGCAGGTATTTTTGGGTGATTTTCTTTGGAATGATATTAAAAATATATAGAGGTACTGGTGTTACTGATGTGTGGGTGGAAGGTATTTCTTCTAATCTAATTAGTAGAAATAGGTCTGGAGCTGCCATACACACTATGACAACATAAGGAGGTTGGGGACATCCATACATTCTTCAGGTATATTGTGACTTTTCATCACTCCTGGTATTAGTGACTCAGAATTCAACCAGTGGAAAGGAACATGGTTCTAAAATTGCATTTCACTGTGGGCACACCGCAGTGACCTCATAATTTGCCTGCCAAAAAAGTTATGTTCTTGCCCTGACATAAAATCACAAAGACGAATTTGTCTGATTTTCAAAATCTTTTGGCAAACGGTTTTACATATAGGCTTCAGATCATACCTACCTTTAATCTTGCCTAGAGATTAGATTGTTTGAGCAACAAGGTATGATACTGCTGTTCTTTTCATTTTGAAACTACAACATTTTTTGGCCGGGTCATTTTTTTAACCTCAAACCTGCAGAACGTTGTCACTGTACTAAAATATATATTTTAGTCAAGCTTTAGCAATCTCTTATGCCATGAACAGATTTGCATCAATTTGTCAGGTTAGCTCCTTATGTTTATAACTCTCAGTATAAATTTTGAATTTTTGCCACACACGCACACCCAAACAATCTTATCCAAGGCCATCGCATCTTTATTGTATTGGGCAGAAAATTTGTCCTGTCCTTGTTTGCCTTTAAATTTGCCATGTACAATAAGAAAATCTCTGCTTGTGCGCAGCGGGGGCTGGCAAGACATGCAGCAGCAGAACAAGGCTTTGTTTATGCTGATATCTGTATCTTCAGACATTGATTTGTTGGCTAGCTGGCTTATCTTTATGGTAAGAGATTGCTTACTGTACAGCTGGCTAGAAAATATGTAAATGGAGGCGGCGATGTCTGGGTTTGCACAGCATATACAATAGAAAAGTAATACTTATGCGATTCGGGTGATGGAAAAGCCAATTTCTTCTCTGGAGTTAATAGACTGATCTAGCAGCAGTGCAAGAGTTAATGCTGACGATGCCAGATAGGCCAGTAGCTCATTTTTTCAGTGTAAAGGGGGTAATATGGTGTAAGCGAGGATGTCTCCTCGTCTCTGTGTAAGATAGATTGATTATTCACTCAAAACTGCTCAAAGGCCTATTTTATTCAAGGCTGAGAACTAATCTTTTGCCAAGTTTCAGAAGGTATTGATCAGCTTCCTTCCAATATGCTCCCATGGTGCTTCACAGGGCTGCTAGGCAGCGCTTGGAAGCTGAAATCCTTTACGAGCTATCATTTTTTAATATCTGAGCATGCACTGGCTAGGAAAAAAAAGATTAATTATTGCTCGCCTTCTTCTAAATGCATAACTATTTTTGGTGACATCCCGCCTCCTACCCCCACTAACAAATCCCTCTTCAGACCTTCCAAAAATGTAACATCTTCTAGGCTGATTCTGTTCCGAAAACCAGAGCAGACTTCTACTGCCTAAACCATCTCAATTCTGACAGGTGAGGTCCCAGGCGGATGAAGCATTATTTGCTGTCGATCAGGGAGCATTCCAAGCATTACATGGAATTAACATTTTGCAGCTTACATGAAGAGAAAGACAAGCTGAACGGGTGTCAGTCTTTGCTCTCCCTTTACATTTTAAATGGGTTCTGAGGTTTCATTAAAAAACAATTCCAGTCCAATAGAAAATCAAGATATTGTTGTATGAAGAGCTACAGAAATCATATATACCCAATAAAAACGTTATTCTACTTTAACTGCAATAGGAGACAATATCAAATAAAGAAACAAAAATAAATAAAAAATATAAAAATAGTATCTGACACCTTAACACCCTTCTGCTGTCATAAGACATATATAACTCACCCAAGTGGTGACCATTAATGCTGGTTGCACACATATATGTGGCAGGCAGCCCGCTGTTCTGTACTAAGAGTGGGCTCACTAGTGCACTTCCAGCACATTGACCAAGCAGTCTCTAACAGCTCCCGGTCACTGTTTATTATCAGGAGCCAGTGTTTATGATCATGGTCTCCCATTCATGTGACTGCTGTGACAGCCAATCACAGCAGTCATCTGAACAGGAAGCCTGCCTCCACCTTTCATCGTTCAGAACCCCTCAAAGGGGTGGAAGAAGCTGGCACCAAGGGGTTGAATAAATCTCCACTTTGCATAATGGGACCACAGTTTTTCCTGGTTCACATGTTGAGTGATCACACATAAGCCTTAAACTCCAATTTTTTTATTTTGTTTTGGATAGAGAGGGGAAGCTTCAAAACCTTGGTCAGGTATTTATTGCAGTTTGTGTCCCTATTGGAAAGATTACCTCTCAGATCCTGTCAGGACAGAAAGTAATAGGAAATCTCTTGAAAGGTGACACAAACAAAAAAAAATTTCAGAAAAGGGAGGGAAGATTAACAATGGGCAATGTATTTGTGTTGTCTGTACCTTCCTACAACCACACCCCACATTTTATGTATGGAAGTCACAGGGGCAGGATGTGAAGGAAAATCTCACGATTGGATCACAGAGAGAACAGAAATGAAAACCACTCCATCCAATGGGTGGAGTCAGGCTTTAAAGTGTCAAGCCAAAAGTTTTATTTTCTTTCATTTAATTCATGTATACATCACTTGTTGTGACAATGTTCTTAAGTCTTCATCCATGAATGTTGTAAAAACTCTTTTATATCATCCAACTTTATATTATACACCGATCATCCATAACATTATGACCACCTGCCTAATATTGAGTAGGTCCCCCTTTTGCCACCAAAACAGCCCTCACCCATCAAGGCATGGACTCCACTAGACATGTGAAGGTATGCTGTGGTATCTGGCACCAAGCTGTCAGTAGCAGATCCTTTAAGTCCTGTAAGTTGTGAGGTGAAGCCTCCTTTGGTCCCCATGTGCATCAATGAGCCTTGACCACCCACACGACTCTGTTGTAGGTTCACTGGTTTTCTTTCCTTGTTCCACTTTTGGTAGGTCCTGATCACGGCAGACTGGGAACATCCCACAAGAGCTGCAGTTTTGGAGTTGCTCTGTCCAGTTGTTTAGATATCGCAATTTGGCCTTTGTCAAAGTCCCTCAAATTCTTACTCTAGCCAATTGTTTCTGCTTCCAACACATCAACTTCAGGCACAAAATGTTCACTTGCTGCCTAATATATCCCACCCATGTCCAGGTGCCATCGTAACGAGATAATCAATGTTATTCACTTTACCTCTCAGTGGTCATAATGTTATGGTTGATCAGTGTATACTGGTCCTTTTATATAATACTAGGCCCGAGGCAATACTCTTTTAGAGAGCCTGCACTTTGCACCTAATAGTAAAGAAGACAGTTTAAGATGACAAAACATAAAGCTGGACTACGGGAAAAGCAAGTATGGTCTAAATACCAGAGGCATGTGTATTCTTACTTGAATCTTGGTGTGCTTTGTGTATTTCTTCAAGACCTTTGCAGTAATCCAGTGTGAGACTTTGGGGTTGATTTACTAACCTTTTAAACACACCACGAATGTGTATACACCTCTGTAGTGTGTTCCCTCCCAGCATGATCTATGGGAGGAATCGAAACACCTTTGTAGTGTGTACACACCCAGCAGGTGTGTTGTGCAAAGCCCTGCAATGAATTGCAAGGTAATGTGGTGTAAATTAGCTCTATGTTATGTTGCTTGCGTTGATGAATGCAGGAATGTAAATGCATGAGCTAACCATTTTTGTCTAAACTGTGAAGCAGCATTATATATGCATCATGTGCATGATTTTTCCATATATGGCATTAGTGGAAATATGCTTTTAGAGACTTTTTGGTTGATAAATACGTTTTGCTGTGTGAAAATCATACACACCTGGTGCGTGCGTGTGTTTAGGTTAGTAAATCACCCCCTTTGCCTCTGTGCAGGAGTTTCCTGTTTTAAGTCCGGTCACTGCTGCTCTCTCTCCTTGTGCAGAGCGGCTGGTCTTGTATCTGCCCCCTTCCTGTGTTGATGTCACTGCTACATTTAAGATAGCTTTGCAAATGCATTTGGTGCACACAAAGTGGATTTAAATGCTTTGTAGTTATTGAGGAATATATTTAAATGAAAGTTATTGTGTCTGGAGTTCATCTTTTGAGTAAACATGTGGTCAAGTATATTTACATATTCTTATTGAGTAAATGAGCCTTATGGGAATGGCCACTGACCTTTGTAGCTGCAGACAGCAATTAATCTTCAAAGTTCACAGCAGAAGGATTGAGGTAATTCGCGTCATGCTCTCAGTAGTTCAGCTCATCCTGCTCCCCCCCTAGCTGTGACTCAGCTGACTTCTATTCGCTTATGGTAACACAGAGCAGGTGCTCTGGGATGGGAGAGCAGTGTGAACTGAGCTGCCAAGAAACAGCTTGAATGACTTTAGTGCTTCTGCTCTGAAATTTGACAATGCATTGCTCCATAGTGCCTGCAGCTACAGAGTCAGGAAAGGGCTTGTTCTAAACCTCATTTGTTGTTTAAGAATAAGGAAATGCCTGAATGTCCTTAACCTGGCCATAGTTACACTTTATCTTTTGTCACATATCACAACCTTGATATGCTGCTGGATCCCTGAAAAGGAATTCCAGCTATGAGCCTACATCCCTCCTGCCTCACCAGTACGCAATGCTTGCTGCCTGATATTTATGGAGGAGTTATTTATAAAAGCCTAAAATTCAGAGCAAAGCTGCATTTCTACATTTCAGTCAGTCAGATACCAAATGTATTTATTTTTTTCCTTATGTTGTTAAACAAATTAAAACTTTCATAATACCAGCCATCAACTCTTTGCTGACTGGCAATAGTTTTGAGATAAGGCTTTGTAGGTGCTGTGCCCCCCAGTCCTACCACTGTTTAAGGTATACCTGTGGGCATTAAATACTGTAAAGTGGCATTTACATTGCATAGCAGGCCGGTGCCTGGTGCCTTTGCATTACCCCAGCTTTCAATTAACTGTGCGAAGGGTGAGACTTGATATGGGAGGAGTGAGGAACTTGGTATATGAAGGCTAAATTTCATCCTTCTAATAATGATGAAACCTTTATACTGGGAGAATAGCATTGTGCCTATCTTTCATTCCTTCCTCCTGTGCAGCATATTTTGTTCTCCGGAAACTACAGGTGCACTTTAAGCCCCACATACAGCATCTGTTCCTGTCCACAGTATTTGAGCAGAGAAGTTAAAAGGCAGTCTGTTACATTTCTGGAGGTTTTTCAGTGTATGAAATGCCGCTTGATTGACTCCTACAGGCTAAACCGCCCAGCAGCTAATCAAGTGTTAGAAGATTTGTCTTTCTATTGAAAAGGGACGTCATTAATAAAGGCTCCATTGAGCTCTCTTACCATCTGTAAGACATTAACCCAAAGACACTCCTTCTCTTTCAGGCTGGACAATTTGCTTAATATGGCCTATGGCGTTAAGAGGTAATTAGAATTTTACAGAATGCCAGATGTCCATGTTGGCACAGATTGGCGCTATAATTTATTTCTTTTCTGCTTGTTTTATTTTTTTTTTAATTCACTAACTTTATTTGTGTTTGTTTAATTGCTCCTTTTTTCCCACCAGCATGCGAGATTCTGTTCTTTTGAGTTGGGACTTCTGTTGGTTTTTACTTTTCTAAGGACGTCAGTGTATTGTGTGGTTCCATTTTTTTCACTGTTTTGTTTTTATCCACAGGTGGGCTACAGCAGCAGTTAAGGTATACCAGCTACACTGACTAAAAATTAATTTCTGAGCTGAATTTTTAAAAGGCACCCATTACCTATTCCAAATTTAATCTGTATGGATTAGGAGGCTATGCGTTTTGTATTACATTCAGGTATATCTTTAGACAAACCTTTTTTTTTTATATAAATAGCGTTGGACTGGGTGAAACCCTTTGTCACATTTTTTATTGCTGTCTGTGTCCTCATTGGGGAGGTTTTGCCCCTCTTTTTGTACTGGTGACCCTCATCATTGAGAAAGAGTTGTCCCCAGAACAAGGGGTAAAGGGAAATCTTCCGATTGGGACGCCTGTTCTGGAGACAATCAGGCATTCTGCTCGGTTTGGGAAATTTCTTTGAACTTCCTATAGCTTCTCTGGCACAGGAAGTGAAAAAAAATTTCAATGGCACACAAACAGCACAAAATAAACTGGCAGGGGTTTTAACCCTGCCCTACTCTATCCAAAACAAAAAAAAAGCTTTGGCTATAGATACACTTTCATTCAGGTAAATGTCCAAAATGGCATCCATCATCTTAGGAAGCAGGAAAACGCCCCAATAAACCAAATAACAAACGTAACTTACAAAATGAAGTTTTTTCCCCCAGAAAATTAATAAAGGTAAAAACAGTTATGGGAGTTTACTGAATGATATAATCATATATTATTGCCATGGAAATACAGTATAGTCCAACATTAAACATCAGTACTACAGCAGTTGGTAGATGCACATAAGCAAAGACTAAAACCGGCTAGATGACTCATCATCTGTAACTGAAACATGACCCTAAATAAAATAAAATGTAATTAATTTGTCCAATTCACTCATGATCAGACATGAATGGAATAATTAAGTTTTATTGCCACAGAAATCTAATCTACCTTTAAATCAGCATTACAGCAGTTGGAAGATGTACGGAACAAAAAGAAAAAACAGGCATGATGACTCATCACCTGTCACTGAAACATTTATTATTTGACTATTTCTAGCTGTGGAGTCTTCCACGATGTAGACAAGGGAGGTGCTAGTGTGTGTGTGGGGGGGGTCCCTGCAAGTGTGAGCTCAGCACTGGTACAACATGACCACCCCAACAGTGCAGTACTCTGCTTCTGCACCCCAACCAAATAACTAACCTTAATAGGATTTCTAAAAGTTGTTTACTTCTGGCCGCAGGTTCTGTTGCAACATTCCCCTCTCTCGTGAACTTCCCTTCAAAGTCCAGTGCAAAGGTTCTTACCCAGGGCATGTGACTGCTCAAGGCCACTAATAATCGGCTGGCAATCAGACAGGAAATTGAGCAATCAGCTTTCTTTCTGGGGGGAATCTTTGCAGCAAATACTGGACTTGGTGGACAAGCACAATTAACAAAAGAACTGCCTACCAAATTAGAACCTCGTCAGCATTGGGTGACTTTTAGGCTCTGTGATTTCAGGTCTGCAAATGCAGAGCATATGGGGAGGGGTATCTGCATTAAATTTAGGTCTGCAGAGTCATGGCATGTGGGGAGGGGCATTTCAATTACATTTAGGTCTGCAGTGGCAGGGCATATAGGAAGAGGAATCTCTGTCAAATATTCCAGAAGCACTGGCCAAAAGGTTTCTTTGCCACCATTCAATGATGATGAAAAGGCAAAGTAGTTAACTATCCACTGATGTTACCAAAGCTGATTTTGATGTAAGTGTTTAGCCCAGTTTTAGGCATGCGCGCAGTATTTTTGGATGACCATAGGGGATAAATGCAGAATAAGACATGTATGTAACCTGAATGAGTAAAAATACATGTATTAAATCTCTACAAAATCAATTATAAAGTAAATTTGGCATTTATTAAAAGTAAAGGGCCCGTTTCAGCAGCTCGACATAACAAATTGCCCAGTATCTGGTTCTGATGGAAATAAATGATCCGTATAGCTGTGGATGCCTTAACTGCCTGAAAGCTTTCTTTCATTTGCAGGTTTAATGACTCTCACCTTTTTATATTGGTTGGTTTCTTTTATGCCTTTACAAGTATTTTTATTACAAGGCCACTGTCTCTATTAAATGACAAATTAAGTAATATTTTCTCTTATTATACATGTCTTTCAATATCAAATCCAACTGATCACCCAACATGTTATGGATTTAAATATAGGACATTTTATAAAGCAAAAAAAAAGTGAATTGTGTGAAAATTGGTAATTTAATAGTTAAATAATTGCAGCTGGAAAGTTACATTTTGTCAAAGCCTGACTTAAAATATCAGGCTTGTTATCCCCTGAATATTAAGTGCCTTTGCTACCTTATTGAGCCATGAATACATTAGAATAATTATGTCCAGTATTTTCATTATTTCAATATTTCAAGAACCTGGGTGAAAAAATATTAATTAAAATTAAATCCATTTGGAAGAACAAAACCCAGGGCATAAGTGTAACCCACTGCTGTCCAATCAAATCTTTTGTGAGTTTTGGTGATAACTACCAGAAAAATGTGTTAAAGATACTAGCTCATGTGCCTGTACCTATTGATTGTATTTGCCTTCATCTATATATGTATATAAGAAACCTATCAAATACTTACAGTATTTTAAAGTGTATATAAAAGTAAATTGATCTTATGGAGACCTAATATCAAATATGGATTATGTATATTGTTGTTTCTATTATTATACATTTTTTTTCATCAGTAGAACCATTTCATGTATGTTTAAACCATTTTTTCTTTCTCTATTTTCACCGATTATGTTTGTTAAGACCGTACTTATATTTGCTTTCTACCTTTCCTTTTAGGTTTTCTCCAATCACTATTGACGGAATGACAAGCTTGGTTGGAATGAACATCCCCGGGCACACGGGTACCGGCTGGTGTATCTTTGTTTACAACCTCTCTCCCGACTCAGATGAGAGTGTCCTTTGGCAGCTTTTTGGTCCATTTGGGGCAGTCAACAATGTCAAAGTCATCCGTGATTTTAACACCAACAAGTGCAAGGGATTTGGCTTTGTCACAATGACCAATTATGATGAAGCAGCTATGGCTATCGCCAGCCTTAATGGATATCGCCTGGGAGACAGAGTTCTGCAAGTTTCCTTTAAAACCAACAAAACCCACAAGTCTTGAATTTCTAGCCTACATCGATCTAAAAAAAATTCTGTTCATGAACAATATAAAGAAAAAAAGAAAAAACAGACTATAAATGGCTTATAACCAACCATGGACTTTATAAGCCAGTGTTGCCTAAGTATTACCATTGGATATCCTGTGATAAACCAGAAAGGATTTTATAATGCTTAGAAAAAAGAAAAATAACAAAAAAACTTTGATGCATTGAATGTTCTTTCATAGCTGTCGTCGTTGAATATAATATACATAGAATACAATGAGCAGGGCTTTTTTTAACCCAGCCGGCTAGTTTTACGCCTTCTTTGAAGGTGGCTGTTTTTAAGATGACCATGAGTTCATTTGAAGAGTTAAAAAATTAAAAAAAATAATTAAAAAAACTTGAAAAAATATAAACAATTTTTACAAATGTAACACAATAAAGAAAAGAAAAATGTCTTTTTCTTTTCTTTCTCAGCTTTCTTTTCTGTTCATAAGATGAGACCTTTTGGTGACCTGCTCCCCACTCCTTTCCGAAAGCCCTTTTAGTGTGGGAATGTAGCAAAGAGCTAATTTAGGGGAAAATTGACAACTTTGTCATTCATACTGCACTGGTAACTTTTTAGAGAACAAGATATGTTTTAAATTGGATTAGTAGATTGTTTTTTGAAAGAAGGATTACAAACAGTTGGTCTTCGTATCTTTTCATAGCCTAATGCAAACAATTCTATTGAGCGAGGGAGAGTGTTGTACACAGGTCCCCCCAAACACAGTCAAAAACCCAAATCAAGCAAGAGGTGCATTGCAATACAATTTTTTTTCTTTAAGTCCT